GTAAATGTGCATTTGTCTTTGTTATCATGATATTTAATATGATAAATATAAAATATCTAGCCAAGAGCCCTTAAATCATTTATTATTTTCATCATTTTCAGGAGAAGCACAGTCTGATAATCTGCACTTGTTCAACATTCAGCACATTTACTGAAATCCTTTTCTCAGCTGAGCATGAAATAATTTTAGCAAAATGCATTTTTGTGACAAAATATCAAATAAAATAACCATATTTTATGTTCATTGTCTGCTGAAAACCAAATACAAATATACAAAATTATACAGGAACCTTAAAGAATGATTGGGTTTCAACTTTTTTCTCCAACTACAGACTTTCTTTTTCCTATAATTCTCACCTTCTTCCATCATATCACATCAACTTATCTTTGCAAAGAAATGACAGTTTATCTGCCAAACCATTTCAAATCATACAAAGGTAATAACCAGCAAGTGCAGAAAATATGGAACCAAACAGATATGTTTGTAATAACATAATATATTTTGATGTACATGACTTTTATTGCATCAGTTATTACCATAAAAGCACATTTAGTAAAACTTATGCTACATTTCTCAGTTTTCGGAAGCTGACAATTTGTTCCTTTTAACTGAAGTCATTGATTATTGATTATGACAAAATACATTTTTTGATGTGTGGCTTTATGCATACAGTAGTGAAAAACATCTAAGCCAAACAAACAAACTTTGAATTTAAATCTGAGTAAAGACATTACGTCCATTTACAATTTATTAAGTAATGCCTGTGTTTCTTTGAACAAAGAACTGGAGTTGTTTCGGATCCTTGCCTGTTCCAGGCTTCACCTCCCATTCCTAACTGGTCTAAAACAGGAAAGCTTTAACTTAATTTCATGTCAGTTAGTGAGGGAAAAAATTATATGCCTTTTCATACAATGTATTTCAGGGCGTCATAAGCATTTGTAACATGGGAGGGACACATTGTCTTGGGGGGTTTGGGGGTCCTCCCCCAGAAAATTTAAATAAAGTAGTTTCCATTTCCTGCATTCTGGTGTATTTTAATGTGTTGTTAAACTATGCTTACCTACAAATGTAAACACTTGATTCAATAATTATTTTAGAGAGCAACAAGAAGTAACCTGACCAACAGTTCTCCTTGTGTGAATGGAGGATGGATGGTTGGAAATTAATTTGACTTGACTTGAGTCCCCGTTTGCCCTGCCCTGTTGACCAAAAAAAAAAAAAAAATAAAACAAAGAGATGCGTGTCCTGACAAGCCGGGTGACCTCAGAGAAACACTGCAACTAGTGTGGTGAGTTGTTGTAGGTAACCAGGAAAACCCGGAATGGACTTTTATAGGTTTGAGTATTCTCCTATTAATCAAGTGGCATGGATTAGTTCACAAAGAAACAGAAACAGTGCTGGATGAACTAATATTTCATGGTAAATGTGTGCGTGTGTGTGTGTGTGTGTGTGGTGGGGGTTCAAATGAAAAAAAAATTCATGTGACAGGGACACGCCCCCTTCACATATAATTGTTGCAATGCCTAAGGTGTATTTCCACGTCTGCTTTTAACTGAAGTTCTCTTGTAAAATACAATAATAAAATTAAAAAGAGAAAGATAAAAGATTACAAAACAATGAGTCGGTCACAATAAACAATTTATAATGTTTTTTTTAAATAGGTTTTTACCAGAATACATGTTGGGATTTTTTTTTTTAAAGTATATTTGCTCTTATTGAAGACAGAAACACTTTTAAAAGTTTTATTTGACAGAAATGTGTAGTATAAGAAAGTAATATAAGATACATTTGCATTACTTTAGTTTTAGAACTTGTCAGATATATTTCTGCTTCTTGTTATAATATTCAGCTCTTGAACGAGGCTAAATTCCACCTCGATGTGAAAACATGTCATCACAACTCATCACATTGTCACCATGTGCTCTAAAGTTAAACAGTAAGCCCTTGTGCATTCATTTTATTCCCCAAACCATGTATCACAAAATTTTTGGTGTTAGACACTGAATAATGCAATAAACAATGCACTCATTTCACATTTACGTCAGTGCTACTTTGGAAACTGACACAAACAAACTTGCTAATTAGTTTTCATAAAAAATTCAAATAAAAGCTAAACACAGCGGACACAACACATTTGGTGTGTTCACACCAAGTTATGTCTCGTTATAAAATAAAAATCTGCTAAAAGATTTTGCTCAAAACAAAACAATATAATAACAACATGTTTTTATAGTTAAAATTAGCGATGCGACTTGTCAGGTCTAGTTGGATATATCAATAAATGAACTTTTTTTTTCCTTTGAGCTTTAAGTCTATCTGTTGGGTATTTAACTGGTTATAAAAAAGTAGATTTTCCTGTCTGAACACCAACATACTGCGCACAACAGTAAGCTATAATATGGATTTCAATGTAAATATAAGGAACGTATTACAAAAGTAGAAGTTTTATTGACTGGATAAGCAGGGGCGATTCTAAAATTCTCTTTCAGGGGAATCTAGCCCCCAGTGCTGGCAATGGTTCTTGGCTTGAACAACGGGTGGCCAGTGGCGTCAGAGGCATTTGTAATGTGGGAAGGACACACTGATGGAGTGTCTGGGGTTTCTCCCTGGACATTTTTTAAATAAAGTAAGATGCCCTTTCATTCTTTCTGGTGTATTTTAACGGGTTGGGAAACATCTAGTTTTACCCTCATAACTTGATTCAATAACTATTTTGGAGTTAATGGCACAACAATAAGTAACCTGAACAACAGCTCTCCTTGTGTGAATAGAGCACACTCCGTTTCTCTCACACATCCTAACACTCGAGGGTGCTTGAGCACTCTGCAAAAATCGCCACTGTGGGTAGAATTGATCATTTAATTTTCCAAACCTTGAGTGGATTTCATCCGAATTTTGTCTTTTTTCCTTTTTTTTTCCCGGAGCAAAATGTTCTACTTCAGTTTGCACTTTGTTTAAATATCCACAGACTTGGTAATAGACGTTTTAGAAATGAGGTGAGATCCAGTTTTGACAGAACAGTTGATGTCCTCCCTCTGTCAGTATTTGCAGTTTCATCTGCATAAAACGGAGATGGTAATCCATCTTCTTCAAACTCAACATGAGTCAGTCCCAGTTTGAAAAGAAGGATATTAATAATAAATAAGTGAAGATTTACTGAACATATGATGACAACATCTCTCTTCGCTCTGCCAAGTCAGGTTTTCTGTTTAAAGCAGAAGCTCAGTGGATTGATTCATTACTGTCTTTCAAAGCTTAGCAATGGTGAAAAAGGAAACATTGCCTTTAAACTACAGTCTTCATGTATCAGAACTTGGTATGATTTTTTAATTGGTTTAACGCCAACATTTTAACAGTTGAAAATGAACATCCAGTGATATCTTTGAGAGCTACATCAAAATCTGTCTGATTTGTGATATTTTACTATCAGAAAACAAAATAGATGGCAAAGATTCAAACAAGTTTTAGGCAAAGATACACTTGAATTATGTGTTGTGAATGAAGGTCAGCTACATTAGATTTTAGACAAATATTTAAAAAAT